TTCATCATTATTGTTAGTATTTTAATTGACTGTAGTAGCTAATGGTATTTATATATACCCATGGTATATATTAAAATACCGTGGTTTTACTATCTGATGCTTTCGCGCTACCATAGTAGTTTTTGTAACGTTAACTGTTTTACTATGCAGGTAAGTGATATTATTGTAATATTTAAATTGTAATGTCTTAAAGTAATACTAAGACAAAAAAGAAAATTTGCTTAATATTTACTCACCCTCAGGCCATCCAAGATGAGTTTGTTTCTTCATCTGAACAGATTTGGAGAAATGTGGGTGCCTTCAGAATGAGAGTCCAAACTGCTAAAAAACATCACAATAATGCTGGTCAGCTAGTGATGTAATGCAAAAGAAACCTCTTCATCTTGGATGGCCTAGATTTTCAGCAAATTTTCATTTTTGGGTGAACTACTCCTTCAAGGCCCCAAAATTATAATTCTATTACATGTAATTTTCATGTAGCTTATTATGAAAATACTGTGTGCTCAATTACATGTCCTCAAATAAATATCTGTGTATGTATTTAAAGCAGTATTATAAATCAACTAAGCCCCTGTGTTTCATCAGGCACTGGATACTAAAGCTCAGTCACTGGTTTTTGTCAAACGCATGGTGGTTATAGCTGTATCCTCCATCACCTATCTGCGTGGGATATTTCCAGAGGACTCCTACAGATCCAGATACCTGGAAGGTATACGTATACACACTGATTTATTAATGGATGAACATTTTAAATATCTCATACAATCAATTTTGATGAATGTTGTTCTTCAGATTTATGTATCAAAGTCCTCAAACAGGATTGTTCATGCCCTGAAGCCCACAAACTCGTCAAATGGTAATTTTATTATATCTGTTGTTTTTGTATAGCAAATTGCTATGTTCGTATTAGTGCTGGGCAACGATTAATCGCATCCAAAATAAAAGTTTTGGTGTACATAATATATGCATGTGGATACACATAATATACACATATTTTTTACAAATATGTTATGTTTATATATTAAATATATTTATATGTAAATATTTTCAAAATATATATTGTATGTGTGTGTCTTTATATATACGTACATAATAAATATACACATATATAAACAAAAACTTTTATTTTGGATGCGATTAATCGATCCCCAGCACTAGTTTGTATATTCAAATGTATTCTTGAAAGTATATTTGTAATGCTTCATTGAAGTGTAAAATATAATGCTATAAAAAGCCAATATAACCATACTTCTGTCCTTCAAGGCTGTTGGGAAGTTTTGATGCATTGGAGAAGAGATATGTAAGTCAAAAGCACCATATTTAGATATAAATGTCTGTTTCTCTTTATTTATTTATTTTTAATTATTATTTCATTTATCTTTATATTTTGCAGCTTCAAATGGTGGTCATTGGGGTCAGTATGCATGTTTTCAATTCTATAATATTTTTTCACACAAAAAAAAAAAAAAACATTATTTACATTTCCTGTTTGTTTTTTGCTTTGTTTTTTATTTTAATCTGCAGGTACACACAAGCCCAGATGACAGTAATGTAAGTCTACAATCTTCCACTGAGTTTTTAGATCAGGGTTTTTTTAAATTTTGATGCCAATGACCCCTAAATATATATACTTTTTGTGTTCAAAATAATTTATACTGTGAGGCACTGTGCATGTGAAATAGTACACAGTTACAACATTAAATAATTGGCTTTTATATTGTTATCATACTAAAGCCAAATTCTAAAGAATATTATTTTTTCAAGAAAATGAATATTTTCTATTAAATTTATCTGAAGGTTTACCCTTTTTGGACCCAAATTGGAATAATTTTAGACGCAAACCTGGAAAGAAACAGTTTCAATATATTAGTTGAGGCGTGGATCTAAATGTTAAAAAGTGGACATTAATAATATAACTTTTCTAAACTTGTTTTCTCAGCATGTCATTGAGTCCTACCAGTTTAAGTTCAGATACTCAGAGTGTGGACCACAGATGGACATCCTGTGGAGGTGTAGTATTGTACATTGTTTACTGTTTTTACCGTATTTTTGATCAAATAAATGCAGTTTTACTGAGCAATAAGAGATTTCTTTTAAAAAAACATTAAAAAAACATCATAAACGCTTTTGAATACAGACCTAAGGTTGGTCTCTTTTTAAAGAAGACAATCTGCAGATTATTGCAGAAGTGAAATCATTTAAAAAAATTAAAGCACAAAAAAGTTATAGAAGTTTAAATTTACCGTAAAGAAAATGTACTGTACTATTTTTATTTTATTTTATCTAAAATAAATATTTTATAAAATATGTTTTAATCCAAAATTGCTATAAAATTAAAGCCATATGTCTAAATAAGTTGTGTTCCAAATTTGAAGGTGATATTAAAAAAATTGAGGTTCCTATGCAATTTTGTTTAGGCGTTATACCACAAACAGCCACCGGGTGCCATCCAAACTCCATTGAATTTTTTTGATGCATTTTTCTGTCACAAATGTATCAATTTCTCTCTCAATATTACTTCTATGACAAAATATGGAATCTTGAGACTCAGACCTTTCCAACGATATGTATTTTTGTCAATATTATGAAAAGTTTTGATTCTAAAAGACCGTAATACATTTGGAATATGACACCTCCCACTAAGGGGGAGGAGCACGCTAAAAGATGTTAAAGTACGATTTCCATGGTAACGCAGTGTCCAATTTCAAAATGGTTTTCACAGGATGAATTTAGAGGTTTTAAGCTTTCAAATGATATATAATTTATGATGATTACTAAAACATGTGATAGGGAAAAAGGAAAAGAAAAATATTTTAAACCTCCATTCACCTCACATACACTAATCCTTTCCTCTTTTCTTCATTTCAGTAATGTGACTGGGGACACAAGAGTGACCTTGGAGGACACAAAGAAAGCTTCAACGCTCCTGATCAGGAAGCTGTTCCTCCTCATGCAGAATCTAGAGGCTTTGCCCACTGGCGTTTACCTCACTATGAAACTCTACTACTATGATGATGGTACAATATATGCTGCCTTTACATCCTTCTGCAGCATGTTGAGAGAAGTAGATAAGAACGGTTTCTTCGTGACAGTTTGTTGAATATTTCAAACTAGTGATGTTTTTAGGAAAAAATGAATGTGCTTAGTGAAATATCTTAATGACTGGTGTGCTTTTGTTTCAATTTAAGTCACTCCACCTGAGTATGAGCCACCAGGATTCAAGGCAGGTGTAAATGACAGTCTGTGGTTCGAGGGAACTGCAGTGCACTTCAGAGTGGGCGATATTCAGTCTCGCTTCCACAGCATGAAGTTGCGCGTGACGGCAGCACAGAGCCGGCTTGGGAAGCTGCTGGAGGGAGGCCAGTTGAGTGAGAACGACATGGAGATGGAGACACCCTCTCTCTCTCAAATCAGAGCAGCAGAAACGGTATAAAGCAGATGTTATACAGGATAAACTTTGATATGCGTTTACCAGACTGGATTCAGATTATGAAACGTTTCTCTGTCTTGTGACAGGTGACCAGAAACTGTGAGCAGGACCTGCCCTCTGAAGATGGTAAGTACCTGAAACAGGTTTTTGTTCAGAAGGTCTCGTCTGACCAAGTGTGTTGCACACGTCCTGAAAAGTGAAGCCAAAACATTTTGATCGCCATCTAGTGGCTAGCTGCAGTATAGGTCATAACCCCTGCCCTCTCCATGTAAACAAATGGGGCGTAAGCCAAAATAAAAAAATTCTTCCCAAAATATGTTTTTTTGTCATTTTAGGTAGTTCTTATCACGATGATGTATGTTCAAGTGTTTGGTATCATAATAAGTTAGCTTTTAGTTAAGTTATTTGATGCTATAAAAACGGGGTGTGGTGTCATGATTGTGTGCTAGCGATTGGGTCTGTGGGAGTTTGGGTGGGACTTTGATGCCGTAACTCCAGCTCACCATCACTACAGCGCAGACTTAGCTCCAAATTAATCACTACTGTGCTGACTCGGGAACCAAATGATGACTTTTTCACAAGATGACAGCAGCCATATCTGGGATATTTTGCTTTCACTTTTCTATAGTGGAAGGAGGTGGAGACGTGTCGTCCATTTTTTTTTTTACAGTCCTATTGTCTTGACCTTTTGCAGAATCTATCGCACAGTTCAAACAGCCCAAAAAAGCTATAGCAAAGGTAAGGTAAGGTAATTTTGATTTCTTTATAGAGATAAAGTGTTTTTTTTTTATTCATGTTTTTTTCCCTTTATTTATTTGCACAGAGGAAGTGTGTCCGAAGTAAAGTCACAAGGAGGAAAAAGAAGAAATGCTTTTGAAACCACAAGTTCACATCAGACAAAATTAGTTTTAAAGGGTTTTTGCTAATATATATATATATATATATATATTTTAAGTTAATGGAAGTAAAATGTCCTTTTACCAGGTAGAAGTTTTTGACTGGGTAATTAGTTGTGGGGAATTCATCCTCCTCATATTCTAGAATTTATATATTTATTGATTGGACTTAATGTTTGTAGTACAAACGATGTTGAATGCATGACACATCAGCCGCTTGTATGAGTATATACATAAATTAAACAATACTTCACACTACCTTACATGAAATATTCCTTCATAATACACACGCTTTTTTAGTACAATGATGCATCATTTTTTGTCATTAGTTCAAAAATATTACATGCATAGTGTCTCCTCAACCAAATTAATAGGTAAAGCATATATTCACAGCACAAGCATTGTCTGATACACATGCACATTAACCAAAATATCCCATTAAAGCTTTTTAATAATCAAATATAATAACAGTTATTTAAAAATAATGCAGTTTACATTGTTTATGCTCATTAAGAATCACACTATCCTACAGTACAGGCACTTTATTGTGAAATATTCACAGACAGCTGTCATTATGTGACAGAAATTATGTTGGCACGCGAAACATGGTCCATTAGTGGTGGAGAACATTAATACTCAATAACAGTTAATATTTCAATAGCTGTGCGTTAGTGTTTAGAGAATGTTGGTAATTGCATTTTAAGATCTTTCTGTAAGATTCAGTCATCGATCCGCAAACAGAATACACCTGGCTCGTGTTCAAAATAGACTGTCCACATCACCCATCTCCACCACCACGGTCTTCAACTGAGTGTAAAATTCAATGGTCACCTGGCCATTTTCTCTTCCAATACCTAAAATCGGTAAAAAACTCATGTTAAATTTGAGTACAGTGTGTGTTTAATGTTACGGAGCAAACACAAACAGACAAATAATGTTTGGTAACTCCACCTGAGGCCTTGTATCCTCCAAACGGCACCTCCACAGGGGTGATATTGTAGTTGTTGATGAAGCAAGATCCAGCCTGCAGGTTTTCTATAACACGATGAGCTCTCTTAACATCTCTGGTGAGTCAGAAACAGACAGGAAAGGAAAATATTAGCAATGAGTATAGCTTTTTTTAACCTTCAGAAGTAACACCCAATCACACGTTCGATATCGTTCAAAAGTTTGGAGTCAGTTTTAAGAAATTAATACTTTTATTCAGTAAGGACACATTCAATTGATCAAATGAAACAGAAGAGACATGTATATTGTTACAAAAAATTATATTTTATTAATAATAATAATAAGATATGTTTCTTGAGCAGCAAATCAGCATATTAGAATGATTTCTGAAGGATCATGTGACTCTGAAGACTGCTGAAAATCCAGCTTTGATCACAGGAATAAATTACATTTTAAAATGTATTAAAATAAAAAACTATTATTTTCAATTGTAGTACTTTTTCCACAATATTACTGTATTTTTGATCAATTAAGACAAGAGACTTCTTTCAAGAACATTAAAACCCCGAAATGTTTGAATGGTAGTGAGCAAAAAAATTATTTTCACTTTACTTCGTAAAGACTCCTGCAGCCAGACCCAGAGCGCTGTCATTGGCTCTCCGAAGAACCTCGTCCTCGGTGTCAAAGGACAGTACTGACATCACAGGCCCAAAGATTTCCTCTCTGACACACGTCATGTCATCTGTGCAGCCGTCTGAAAACAAAACACATGAACGAACACACAACACGGACTGCAGGAAAAGAACAGAACAAAAACAGGCCATTGAATGTTTCCAAAACACATGATCTCAACTCACCGAGCACACACGGTGTCATGTAGTATCCATCTTTTAGTTTAGGATCTGCTGGGATGAAGGGCTCCCCTCCGCAGAGAACTCTGGCTCCCTATAAAGAAAAAGTAACTACTTAAAACCATATCATATAGTAAATTATACAATAATGCTACTATATGAATATTTTCTGAACAACACTTGTACCTCTTTCTTAGCTTGCTTCACATATCCCAGCACCTTTTCCAGATGTGGTTTGCTGACCAGAGCTCCCATACGAGTCTCATCCAACAGAGGGTCTCCTATCTGGATGGCTTTAGTTCTCCTGGCCACCTCTTTCAAGAACGGAGGAAGAATTGAGCTTTGCACGAAAACTCTGGTGCCATTGCTGCACACCTACAAGTGAGCAATACAAAAAATACATATTCATTAATCATTAGTGTATAAATAATACATATTTTGATGAATATGGAGCTACTGAAGAGCATATTTATAGATGCACAATATAGGTGACCATAAACAGCATGTGCATCAATGTGAGTGGGTTTTTAATATTAGTGTTCAGTCTGATTGGGCTGATATTACTAAGGGATCATTTCAGACAAACTTGAAAATAAATGTGTTGAAAAGTTTTGTTTGTTTTTTTTCAACAAAAATGTATACTTTTATTCAGCCAGGATGCATTAACTTGATCAAAAGTGACAGTAAAACATTTATAATGTTACAAAAGGTTTCTATTTTAAGTAAATGCTGTTCTTTTGAACTTTCTATTCAGAATTTGACATTTTGAATTTAAAGCAATATTGTACTCGCAATTGTGCAGTTGGTCTGTATATCAGCATGGCTAGATGAAAAGTAGCTCTAATTGTTTATATGAAAGAGTCATAAGTTATGCGGCTTGTTGCTGAAACGTTTGATTCTCGATTGCTCTGTTGCAAAATGAAAATAAATTACAAGAAGATACAGTGAGTGTGGATCCCTTATCTGAAAGTGATGTTACTGATCGATCTACACCCAAAACTAAAGTTGAGCGCAGTGATCCTTTTTTTTTCTCGTGAATATGAAACAGAAAGGGAAAAAGATGTATGTTAATACTTTGACTTGACTTTCCAGTACAGTACCTGGCCTTGAGACAAGAAGTTGGCCATGAGTGCTCCTCTGACAGCATTTTCTAGGTCAGTGTCCTCAAAGATGATCAGTGGAGATTTACCACCGAGCTCCAGTGTCACTGGTTTGACCCCACGGGAAGCCATTTCCATTATCTGTTGGGCCAAAATGTGCATTTGAATTAAGGAAATGCATTCCAGGATAGTTTCCATTACAACTACTATTAGTGACTTTCTCAATAGAGTGTACTGTATAATGTCTGGTATAATAAACCCAACTTAGATTAAAGGAATAGTTCACCCCAAAATGAAACTTTTCTGGAAATTTACTCATCTTCAGGCCGTCCAAAATGTAGATGAGTTTGTTTCTTCATCGGAACAGATTTGGATAAATGTAGCATTGCTTGCTCACTTGCTCACCAACGGATGCTCTGCAGTGAATGGGTGCCGTCAGAATGAGAGTCCTAACAGCTGATAAAAACATCACAATAATCCACACCACTCCAGTCCATCAATTAATGTCTTGATTATTACAAACACACAGCTTTTCACTTCATAAATGCATTAAGACATTTTTAACTTTAAACCATCACTTCTGGCCAAAGTATAAGTTCATAATCCATAATAATGCTTTCTGCAGTGAAAAAGTCCATCTCTGTTGTCCTCTCACATCAAAATCCACCTTCATATTTGTTAATAACTGTCTTCGACTGTTTTCACTTGCTTGATCTGTGCATAATTCTCTCTTGATTCAGATGAGATTATTTTTTACTGGAGAAAATAATATTATGGATAGAGGACTTGCATTTTAGCCCAAAGCAACTGTTTGAAGTTAAAATATCTTGATGAATTTGTTTCTTACAAATATACAGCTTTTCACTTCACAAGCCCGACTGGATCAACTGGATTGATGTACTGGAGTGGTGTGGATTACTTGTGGATTATTGTTTTTATCAGCTGTTTGGACTCTCATTCTGACGGCACCCATTCACTGCAGAGCATCCATTGGTGAGCAAGTGATGTAATGTTAAATTTCTCCAAATCTGTTCAGAGGAAGAAACAAACTCATCTACATCTTGGATGAGTACATTTGCATTTTTGGGTGAACTATTCCTTTAAACCATACAATAAGCAAATTGTTCTGTGAAAAAAGTTCTGTGACAGCTATTACTATTAGCTCGGGTCATCTTACTTTCTTGCCTGTGGGCACACTTCCTGTGAAGGAGACCTTCGCCACAGATGGGTGATGACACAGCAGAGAACCCGTCTCCTGTCCGCCCTGCACCACACTGAAGAGGCCCTCAGGAGCCCCAGCCTGTGAATAAATCTCAGCCAGCAGCACTGCAGTCACAGGGGTCACCGGTGACGGCTTGAACACCATAGAGTTGCCTACAATTGAATCGTAAGACTGAATGGAGAGTATTAAGATAATCATTTCGGCTAGCATGCTAGCTTGCGCCAGCAGTTATACACAGAAGCATCTCCCGGCGGATGACGTATGAGGTCAGCGTTTCGCATGCGCCGGTGAGTCTCGTGAAAACCAACGTTTGTTTACAGAATCAAAGGAAGCAAAGTTTCCTTTATCAAAGGAAAACCAGTCTCCTCTTGGCTTATATCGAAATCCTCTGATATTCTTCTTTACAAATCCTCGTTTTGTACTTTTAATCTGTGACCGGTGTTTTGTTTTGCTCTGTATGTTTGTCTTTTTTCTGAAAAATATTAACAAATTCAAAAATTTGAGTCAGGGAAGTTTCTAAAATTTGGTTGATTTGACATGGAATGACCCTATTATAGTATTTTTCCTAATTTTCATTTTTGGGTGAACTAACCCTTTAAGGTTATCATCTTGTAATTTTTAGGCAAAATATCTCAGCTAGATTTTCTGGTGGAAGACAGACTTCTCTTGTTAATGCATTTTAATGTGGCTTCGTGAGTAAACAGTTCAATTGTACACATATTGAATAAATCAAAAACTAAATGTGGGTCACGTTGCATTCAGCTGGTACATTTTTCTTTTAAAAATAAATATCTTTATGTATTTCTTTCACCAGGAAAAAAAAATCTAAATGTTTTAGTTTAGTTGAGTTAACATGGAATGACCCTTGTAGAATTTAAATTGATTTATTTTATTTTACTATTATTTCATTTGAATTATTATGAGAAAATCATATCAAATTGTATTATTGTCCATTTATAACGTCATTTATTGGCCTATCGGTGGATACCTATATTTAAGGAACATGTTCTGTGATTCCAGTGTTCTAAAACACACTTATACAACTTATATATATATATATATATATATATATATATATATCACGTACCACAAGCGATGGCAGGGGCAGATTTCCAGGCTGCAATCTGGAAGGGGTAGTTCCAGGCTCCTATTCCCACACACACACCTAGCGGCTCCCGACGAGTGTAAGCAAACGAACCTCCTGGCAGCTGAACATGCTGACCTGAGAAAGAATAGCCCAAACCCACCAGTGTAGTCCTAAGTTAACATAACTATCATTTTCATTGTAATTGTATGTACACTACCAGTCAAACGTTTGTAATAATTAAGATTTAAGAAAGAAGTCTCTTATGCTTATCAAGGATGCATTTATTTGATAAACAAAAAATACAGCAAAAATAGAAATATTATAAAATATTACATTTAAAAGAAGTGTTTTCTATTTGAATGTATTTTAAAATGTAGCCAAATTTGTATTTTCAGCATCATTACTCCAGTCTTCAGTGTCACATGATCCTTCAGAAATCATTCTAATATGCTGATTTGCTGCTCAGTTATAAATTATTATTAATGTTTAATAATTAATAATGGTTCTTATTATTACCAATGTCGAATGCAGTTTTTGTGGCTTAATATTTTTGTGGAAGCATTAAAAAAAAAAACTTAATTATAATGAACTCTGGACTGGCAGTGTAATTTTTTTTTTAGTAATGAAGTTTTAAAATTGTGTCTGTGTCTTATGAGAATGCTCAATGGCAAAACAACTAACCTGAAAGTGTGGTGGCTTGTCCTGCAAAATACTCAATGCACAGTCTGGCTGAGTCCACATCTAAACGGGCTTCGGTGATGGACTTGCCATTGTTGACGACCTCTATCTCAGCAATCTCCTCTCTTCTCTTCTATTCTCAGCAACAGAAATAACTGAAAAGATCAGACTCAACACGACTTGAATCAATGCAGCACTGTTATGTAATGTGTCAGGATGCCTGATCAATGCATTCAGGTCTACCCCAATGAGTCTAGCCGCCTCTAGCATGACTCTGGCTCTTTCCATGCCTGCCAGTTTACTCCACACTGTAAAAGCAGCACTGGCGCTCCTGACAGCTGCATCGACATCTGCGGCACCACAAGCTTGTAGCTGGCACAAGACACGACCTGTGACACATTTATAAAGATCAGAGATGAATGATGATGTTTTTTCATAGAACAACATGGTGTATTGAGGAACTCTGGTATATGCGTAGCCAGATGTGACTGTAATAATCGCATGGGGCAAAGTCTGATTGATTGGGCAATGCTTAGAAGGGGTGAAATGAAGGAAATTCGTTTCATAAACACATTACCTGTTGCAGGCTCATATACGGGTTCGGATTTGGTTTCCACATCTTTAAGGCTGACTCGGCCACCGCTCCAGAAGTTAAGCGAATCTTTGATATGAAGGGTTCCTGAGGATATGCTCCTGGTCCCGGTGTAGTACAGGGCCCCACAGAGACCCGGGGTCCGGAGAGAGCTCAGCAGGGCCATCTTCAAATGCCTAACACTGAACTTTGACCCCCTGGACGAGTGTCAACAAACCGGATCTTCTCAGATTTTGCACCAAAACATAGTGTTACAGCAATAAAAATAAAACAGTCAAGCATAAATTAGAAGAGATTTAAAATAATAATAATAATAAAAGTTCAAATTATTTGTATATATAAGTTCATGACTATGTTTTTGCTATAAAAGTCTGTAAAAGTCGAAAGCAACAACATCGGCAGTCCGCTTAAATGCAACCTCCCACATAGCAAGTGTTGCATTTAAGATTGAAAATGCTAACGTTAGTAACAAAAGGTTTCGCAGTGACAGAGACGTTCACTTCACTCACCTTCTGCTGCAAGTCTGAAGAAGAAGATTGCGGATCAGTCCAGCCATGTTCCAGCATTTTAGGGCGGGGCTTAAACGCGAGCGCGACTCTCATTGGTTTCTTCTTGATGATGTCATTTGACGATTCCGAAAAGTTAAAGAAAAGTAAATGTAATTTTAAAATATTTCATAAAATATATGCAGTGAACCTTATTGCTTCTAAATATGACAGTACCTGCTTATTTTGTAAAGTTTCTATCACTGTGAAATAAACCTAACGGAATGTTATTATGGTAATACATGTGATAAATCACTGGAATATGTTGTCATTCCCCCTCATTTTATTTTATAGGGTAAATGTTCATACGGGGATATCGGAAATTCCCTGTCAATAAACCTACCATTTTGGCCTACTTTTCCACATATTTTAATTGAGGCAGAATCTGTTTTCTGCTTTTGTTAATATTGTCTTTTCATATGTGATGCCATTAATGTGCACATATTGGGACTTGTATTTAGAGATATATGAATATATTAATTTACTTAAGTAAAAGGAAAGAACACATAAACAAAGAATATTTAAATGGTACTTTTAAATATTAGCAGGGGGAAGAAAAAAAAAAATATATATATATAAAAAATACGGGTAAATTGAAATGTATAAACAGGACTAAACGGAAGAAGAGAACAGCTTAAGGGGAGGTTATATAACTGGATTCTGGATTTCTTGCAAGAACGAACAATACAAGTGAGAGTAGGTACTGAATACTCTGATATTTATCAAATAGACAATGGAACCCCTCAAGGAAGTGTTTGTAGCCCCATACTTTTTAATATAATGATAAATGATATTTTTGGGGAAATTTCTAGTTTTTTTTCTTTTTTTTTTCTCTCTCCTTTCCCTTCTGTATTTATTTCTTCCAAATTTATGCACACTCCACACTCCAGATCAGTAGGTGGCGGTAATGCACCTCTTTCGCTGGTTTGCCAACCCGCCATAAAACACCAGAAGAAGAAGAAGCATTATTTTCTTTGTGGAAAAAGCAGTGAGCGGACAGTAGGAGGAGCGCTGAGAGTGTGTGTATTATTAGAATAGCGACACACACACACACTCTTGTGCTCCCACTGCAAGCATGGCTGGCGACAGTGAAACACATCTTAAGGACAGAGCGGAGAACGAACACAACATCCGACAGCCGTTCCTCATCGGTGTGGCTGGGGGCACCGCTAGCGGAAAGGTTTGAGCTTTACGAGTGTTTATCGGTAACCGTACAGACCCCGCTATCATCATGTAGGTTAACGGGGGTTTTCTGTGACGCCGGTGCCTCCAGCGACCGCGTGGCTCTAGCCAGCTCATAATGAACTATACAAGAAAGCTATTTTAGAAACACAACATATGGGGTTTTCAAATGTATTCGCACGCCAGGTCAAAACCTAAACATGTAATTTAAAACCTTTATATATTTTTGTCATTTGTAAAATCTTTTGTTTCATTACTGGAAACTGAGAATTTCTAAAGCGCGAAAATAATTTTAAACTTGGAATAACCGACAATTAATATTTTTCGTTATTCCGTTAGGATTTGTCCAGATTCGTGTTTATAATCGTTCTAAATGTCGATAACGTCATGTTTTATCTCCACGTGGCGCAGTGTTTTGAATCACCGCGTGTCCTGTTGTCGTTTATTTGCTTGCAAGCGACCTCGAATGTCTACATTGGAAGTTTATTAGTTGCCATGCTGGTTTAAAAGTGGTTTGTTGTAGCTGTTAAAAATGAGAAAAAAGTGCCTCTTCCTCCATGTAGGCGAAGGAAAGTTGCGGGAACGTGACGTCATAACCGCGGAGGATGTTTACATTGACGCAACGACCCCGTTTTAGTAACAAGCGTTCAGTAATCTTCCGCTGACCTTCATGTACAGGAAACTTCACTTCCACCGCTAAACTATTACCACTGAGCGTATGAAAACCCAGTTATGCTCAAATGAAACCATGTTACTTGCTGTCAAAATGTGGTTGCTTTATGCTCAATGGCTCTGAAGGGTCGCCCATGTTGGCGGAATCAACGTCTGTCTATCATCCAGACAAATATAACTGAGCCCAGATTTTAAATGCACACTTGGCGCCAAGTGGAGGCCATGCTTCCCCGCTGGATTTCCTTACATGGGATACGTGACCCACCCCAGAGTTCACAGCACATGTCTGCAGAGACACTAGTGTCTATAGCACAAGTTAGAAGGGTGGTTCGCCAAAATTTGCTCCCTTTTTTCATGTTGTGCAGAACATAAAGATATTTTGAAGAATGTTTGTAGTCAAACAGTGTTGGTGTCCATTGACTTCCATTGTATGGACTACAAACACTAAGAAAGTCATACAGGTTTGGAACAACATGAGGACGAGTAAATGACACGGTTTTTATTTTTAGGCGAACTATTCCTTTAACATATAAAATAATAGTCAGAAAAGCTTATCTAGTTTATTGAATCTTTAGACAAATTATTTAAAAATGTGCATATGTGGGAGTATCATATTTGATGCACCATGCTTTTAGGCCTCATGTAATATGATATAAGAGAATATGGAGATCAGTGTAACAGACTACTTGCATAAAATGCATATGAATATCAGTTTTCACTCTATATCTCTATAAGATGACATTTAAAAGCTTAGTTTTGTGATCAAATCTCTGTAGTTTTAATTTTGTGCGGTAAAACATAATGCAATTATGATTGAGAGATGTACAAATAAACATTCCTCAAAAATAGCATATTTAATACTCCCATTTTAACACGATCATTCGAAATAATGACATATGGATTTTTGCAGTCCAGTAAGTGTTCATATTTAAATATTACTAACAATATAAAGTTTTCATGTTAAATTCATAAAAATCTGTGAAGATTTCACAGCAAAAATACGTGGACCACGACCTGAAGGGGAGCGTTTCTTTAGAATTATACTAAAAGGCCTTTTATAGAAAGCATGTAGTAGATTGTGTAAAACCGTTTTTTTCAGCAAAGTTTGGATCATGTTGATAATTTCGAGGGCTTAGAAGGTTGTGTCTCAAAAATGATTCATAAGTTAAATAACGCAACCACTGTGGCTTTAGCTTGTGTATATCTGAACTGTGGGGTAGCTTAAAGAGTTTAGTACTTACTAAGTGGTTTTGGGTTCTCTCCTGTCAGTCTTCAGTATGTGAGAAGATCATGGAGCTGTTGGGCCAGGATAAGATTGACTGTCACCAGCGGCAGGTGGTCATCCTCAGTCAAGACAGCTTTTACAGGGAGCTCACACCTGAACAGAAAGCCAAAGCGCTCAAGGGCCAGTTCAACTTCGATCACCCAGGTACTTGAATGTCTGAGGGTTGTTAAAGAGGTCAAAAGTTCACTCAGAAGTTAGAATATACTCATCTATTACTTGGAATGGGGGGGGAAACAAACGGCTTACATGGTTACTTCGCATGTAAGAACCAATGGTGTTTTGTCAGTCTTCAATTTTGGTTCAATCCTTGCACAAAACTATCATATGTCTTCTGAAAACGTGTCATATGGACTACTGCTTCCTTTTAAAGATCCAAATTACATTTTTTTGAATAGTTTCTTACAGAAGATAATCTGTTTTTCAATGTTTCCATCATTCGCAGATGCTTTCGACAATGAGCTGGTCATGAAGACTCTGCAAGACATCATTCAGGGGGAGACTGTGCACATCCCAGTTTATGACTTTGTTACCCATTCCAGGTCAGCGCTGCTCTCTCTCTCTCTGCACAAGTTGCTATTTTGGGTGTTTTGATGGGTGAATCACTGTTGGACGTATTATGAATCATATGTTCTGCACACCTCTTACAGGAAGGATGAGTTTGTGACTGTGTATCCAGCAGATGTGGTTCTCTTTGAGGGGATTCTCATGTTCTACTCGCAAGAGATTCGAGATTTGTTCCAAATGAAGCTGTTTGTGGACACAGACCCAGACACACGCCTCTCGCGAAGAGGTAGATGACCTGACTGACAGTTTCACTTGCAATTTGGTTTAAGTAGTGCTTTTTGTCTTTCTTTCCCCAAGTAGAGTAGATCTATGAGCTTTGCTGATTATAATGAGAGGGATTTCCTCTGGGTTGTCAAGGTCATTATCATTACCTGAAAGTCTGAAATTTTTTTTTTGTTAAATAGAAATTAATGCAAATAAGTTTTGCATTTTGCTGCATTCCAAAGTTTGAACTGACCTGCGCATTTTTATTTTATATTTTCATTTTTATCAATACCAATAGAAAAAAAAAAAAGTATTTATTTTTAATTTTTTTAATATTTATTTATTTATGTTTATATTTATTTACTTGTATATTTTATTTATGTATGTATTTTTATATTATTTATTTATATATATATATATATATATATACGAGAGTCCTCTTAGCAGAATTAAAAGAACGTGAACTTTAAAGCTTTACACAAGTGTGTAGTGTTGCAGGAAAGTTGTTGTATTGTATATTTTTACATTTTGGAGTTATTATATTGTATATATAGTTTTTAAATAAGAAAACAGAGCATCATGTCATATGATCAGTGCAGTATCTGAAGAAATTGTGTGCTCAAAGTCTAGTGTGACCACAACATTATACTCAAAAAAAAAAACTAAAAATACTTGTAAAAAATGGGTAGGTTGCCTTGGGAGCTAAATGAAATAAAGTAAGTTTAAGTAATAAAATTACTAAAACTGGAAGTGTAAAATATTACAATAGAAAAAAAAAACCTAATAAAAATGAAAAAACATTTTAATTTATGTAGCACTTTACACAATACAGATTGTCAAAGCAGCTTTACAGTGTTAAACAGGAAAATAATGATAACATTAAGTTAAATTGATCTAACTTTTTGTATGTATTTTACATGTATGAAACTCAGTAAATAATTTAATGAGATAAAGTACCAGTCATTTGTATGTAATATGCTTGATTATTGAAAAGTTCTTTATTATGTAATATATAAAACACTTCTGCACTGAACTTCCAGCAGTAATAGCTTTATTGAGGAACAATGAGCGTGAAGGTTTGGTTAAACTGCTCGGCACTATATACTAACTGTGTGTTTTCTTGTTTCTGTCAGTGTTGCGGGACATAAGTGAGAGAGGCAGAGAGTTGGAGCAGGTTCTGAACCAGTACATCACCTTTGTGAAGCCAGCCTTTGAGGAGTTCTGTCTTCCTGTGAGTATCCTTATGAACGAAACCTCACTTCTCCATTATTATAGCAGCTTTTAACTGTGCTTTATTGTCGGAAAAGGTATAACGTATACTAATTTGACACCTTCCATCTGCTTCCTCATTCTTTGTGCCCTAAATGATCTTGAACATTTATATTTGCAGACCAAAAAGTATGCAGACGTCATCATCCCCAGAGGAGCAGACAATCACGGTGAGTCAGTAGTCACTAGTTATTTGATAGGAAATGCACACTGGAGAGATTTAACTTGATGTACTTTTATCTCCCTTTCTCTTTAGTGGCTATTAATCTGATTGTGCAGCATATTCAGGATATCCTGAACGGAGGATTCAACAAACGACAGAACAGTTTTCAGAACGGCCACGGAACCCCCAGACAAAGACGGCCCTCTGAGTCGAGTCGACCGCACTGACCTCACTGTGGCCCTTCCCTCCATTGAGGAGAGGGCGGAACTGAATAATAACAGTGTACATCCCATTCACCCAATGACAATGAAGGGATGCAGGAGCTGAAATGCCTTTGTTATTGTCACTATTATTTGCATTTGAAATGTTGTTGTTGTGGATAATAGTTTGCTGTTACAGGGTTTTGAAAGTGCTATGATTTTTTTTGTCGGCGTGTCTATCTGCTTTCTTAGCTACTCAGAAAATAAATAAATAGTTTGGAAAGTTTTGTTCCGACTGGAAGTAGAGACAACTTTGATTACAGTGCTATTTGCATACATACTTGAAGTCAGAGCTCAGGTTGGGTGGGTTGTTCCATCCACAAAAGAAAAAGCCCCTAGTGCCTCATGTTTGAGGCCCTTTAATGTGTGATTTTGTAATTATGGCACACTAGCATTTTATATTGTTTTTTTTGTAGCTTTCTAGTTGAATCTCAATGTTGCTGTGGTTCTTACAATTGTAGTGTTTTGTACATATGATGTGACACATTTTGTTGACAATATTTACAGTTTTACAAGTAATGGTGCTTCTTTTTGACTACAATATCTCAGTGTGCATACAGAGTATTTTACCCTAATTATGCCTGATCCCCAATTACTACTATCCTCCGATACAATCAGGAGATACATTAAATACCTCAAAGACATTTACTGTTAACACCAGAAAAATGATTACTTGAATTACGCTTATTGTAGTAACCTACTTCAATAAGCCTGTGTTTACATGCCTCTCTGGCACGTATTTTTCTACGATTTTTTTCACTGGATTAATTATTTACATCTGGTTTTGTTGACGAATTATCCATAACGTTTTGGTGGAATAAAATAATAAAACTATACACAGTTTTCGTTTGTTTGTTCCACTCTTTGACCTCGTTTCATGCTTGTAATACCCCTCATGTCCGCTAGGCGGAGCTGCTATCGTGGCATCCGTCGCGCTCTTTATACGCAGTTGGATGACGTATAGAAGCAGGGGCGTGGCTCAAGATGGGGGTATGTTTATAAAAGCACTGGATACTTGGGGAGAAAAAAATCAACGAATAGCCGTTTCACTAGCTATTTCTTTTTATCTGTAGAAATTTGGATTGCAGTTTAAAGCCACTTTGGAGAATGTTACAAACGTGAGGCCGGTGGGGGATGATTTCCGCTGGTATTTAAAGGTACAGTGTGTTCGTGTGACATGCTGTCAGTGGCCTGACAGTAACGTTACTAACAGTTATTTTGCTCACCGGAAATACTTATACTTTAAGCAGTTCACTGTTTATATTACTATATAGACTTAGTATCATTCGTAATGTGATGAATACTGATAATGTACACTTGGATAATTATACTGAAAACTGTCCAAGTGGCCACGTGATTTAATGGCATGTCATTTAGTCTAATAACTGACTCCTGTGCTTGCAGCTGAAGTGTGGGAATTGTGGTGAGGTGTCGGATAAATGGCAGTATATCACCTTAATGGTAGGTTGCAAAGTGTGGAAAATATAGCCAATAACTGGTTTGCATCATCTACTAGTATTATTGCAAGATGTTTTCATGCTTTTAGCAGTGACGATATGTTTATCATTACTACTTTAAAAAGGAATGTTTCTATTACATTTCGCAAGAAAATAAATAATATTTCAATAAAACACAGAAAAGGGAACAAACATGCAGTTTTCATTGTGATTTTTCATTTTCATTGTGCTGTGTTTTCATTATTTCTCAAAAAAGACATAAAATGCAGTTTACATTTTTTCTTTCTCCAAGGCAGTTTTTAAATGCATTTTTATGTCATTTTTTGGTTTACTTTTTGTTGCAAAATGTGTAAAAAATAATGGAAAAATCACTTTTAAAATAATTTCAAAGTACAAGACTGTCGCACTGCATATGAAATAAATATTTCACTAAGAAATTAAAATTGTCACCCTCACGCTATTTTAAAACAGTATGATTTTATACACCGAACAAAATTATAAACGCAACACTTGTTTTTGCCCCCATTTTTCATGAGGTGAACTCAAAGATTTTTTCTATGTACACAAAAGGCCTATTTCTCTCAAATATTGTTCACAAATCTGTCTAAATCTGTGTTAGTGAGCACTTCTCCTTTGCCGAGATAATCTATCCACCTCACAGAAAGTGTTGCGTTTATAATTTTGTTCAGTGTATATTTAAGGTTTTATTCATTCAAAATCTCCCCTTCACTGATACACTGCACTTTTGCACTTGTGTGACTCATGTTTACTAAATTGAGTGCATAGAAACATCTGTATAGTGACGGCTGGTCCTTTCCTCACTTCAGGACAGCATGCCACTGAAAGGAGGACGAGGGAGTGCTAGCATGGTGCAGAAGTGCAAACTGTGTTCTCGGGAAAACTCCATTGGTAACCAACCTACTAGCTAGTAAATGTGCTGATAAAATGCTTACACATGGCCAAAAAGTTGCACAATAATATCTTCTCTGTTGGTGTTTTTATATTTTTGGTTGGGTAAGTGTACATTAATGTCTTATTGGACTTAAGTGGATGTCTGACTGTTTCCAGATATCCTGAGGGACACAATTACACCTTACAATGTAAGACAGAATAAATTCATTTTTTTTGTTTGTTACTTTATAAGCCACAATGCACAGTGAATAATGCAGTTGCATATGAATATATATAGTTGCATATATGCATTTTTTATGTTGCCGATGTATTTTCTCTTCTAAAGGCAGAAGACAGCGAAAGGTTTAAGACCATTGTCCAGTTTGAGTGTCGGGGTCTGGAACCAGTCGACTTTCAACCTCAGGTGAGATATTACATATATTCCAGTAGTTTTTAAATAAATACGTTTATTTAGCAAGGATGTATTAAAAAGATTTGTTACAAAAATATTTCTTTTCAAACAAATGCTGTTATTTGGAACAGTCCAATCATCGAGGAATCCTGAAAAAAAAAATGTACCATGGTTTCCACAAAAATACTGTCTTCAACATTGATTATAAGAAGACAGACACTGAAGTCTGTAGTAATGATGCTGAAAATTCAGCTTTGTATCACAAGAATAAATACAATTTTAAAAGGACTCATAGTATAGTAAAAGAAAAGGGTTGTTTTAAAGGCACAATATGTACGATATTTTTTATTAAAATATCCAAAAACCTCTAGAACAGTGTTATATATTTTGCTGACTTGTGTTCTTACATTATCCCAAATGTTTCAAAGAATATTTAAATCCAGAGAAATAAGCAATTTTAACTAGTGACACGGACCGTGTCTATAAGTGTCATTGTGTCGCCTGCCAATGACGTCATAACCCCTCGATTTCCGGTTTTGTTTTGTAGAAAACATGGAAACGCCAAAGACGCTTTAATATGTTATGCGTTTTATTAGACAGGTGACGACCGCACAGAGTAGCATTATAACAGAACTTTCAAATGCATCTAGTATGATAAAACAGCGCTGCTTTACCCCACATACACACGACCGGAAGGAGCGGAAGCGCTAAAGTGTGGCATAATAAAAGCTCCGCTGCTTTCGAGCCGTGTGTCACGCTCGTTCAGCGGCCTCGTTTCGCTTCGACGGCTTTCAGCCTCATCCTGCTTCATTCTACTACGTTAATAAATCATTAGCTCTTCCATGAACGTGATTTCTGCCCGAGCCCCGTCGGATTGCGTCGGCTGTGGGGATGAAGACCACAACTCCCATGATTCCACACTCAGTCACAGCGTCATCAAACTACGCCTTTGTTTCTTTGATTGTTTTGAATACGTGCCCTCTAGTGGTGAAAACGTACATATTGTACTTTTAATTTGTAATAGTATTTCAATATTTTAATTTCGTTTTGATCAAATAATTGCAGCCTAGTAGACCTCAGAAGCATTAAAAAAAATCTTACTTACCCTAAACTTTTGAATAGTAGTGTATACAATTATGTAGAATTATCTTCAGAAGCTTTCCTCTAGCCTGAATAAAGCACATAAACATTCACCTTGTTTCTCTACAGGCTGGTTTTGCCGCTAGTGGAGCAGAGACATCCACCCAGTTCCCTGAAATCAACCTGCAAGAGAAAGTAAGAATTCTCCCGAGTCATTTCACACCTTCGAGTTCATCCGTGAGGTCGTAACAGTCTTTCTTCTATGTATCAGGACTGGACGGATTACGATGAGAAGGCCAGTGAGTCTGTGGGGATCTATGAGGTCACACATCAATTCATCAAGTGCTGAAAAATAAAGAGGTCTGATTGAAGAACGACTGACTGGTTACTGAATAAACAATGAAGTTATAAAATGACTACACCACACACTTGTTAGTCAGTGCTGATTGACTGTTGCTAATTGGTAAAAGGCTTATATACGATTCTACAATAATAAAGTGTGGAGTTATTGGATAATTTTGTGTGTGTTTATGCGGGCTTGCAACCCAGCTAAATACTTGTATTACGTTTTAATCAAATGATGCAGAAAAGGAAAAGAAAGGAATATTTTTGCACGCCATTATGACATATGGCAATGCTGAACATTCAATCTGTGAACATCAATGGGATATTTTAAAAGGTTCATTATAAATTTAGTAGGTGTACTATGTTTATACAAACATCAGATAGCGCACTTCAGAATTGAGATTTCATTGCTCAAATTTTAAGTACTGAAATAGTGCAAAAACAAGGCTATTATATAAATATAGTGTCGTAGGGCAATCTAATTTTTTAGATTAGGGAACACATTCACTATTCACTGTACTACTAAAGTGCAAAGTCTTACTAGTAGCAGTTGGAATAGATACTAGTGTCTAATAAAAAGGTACTAATTGCTAATGAGTAAGTACTAGTCACTATGAGAGCATATTTACCATTTGGAGGTTTACTACTTGGCTTTCTATTTTGAGGTGAATATTCTGTATATGAAACACTAGTTGAACGTGAATAGTGTGTATCTGAACCACAGATCCTTAATGCCTTAAAAGGCAAAATGTGCAAATTGTTACTTATCACTGCTGAGGTAACTATTATGAATACTGACAAAATTGGAATAGTAATAAATAAAAATAGGTAGCCCTTAAAAAAAGGTTTTACTTCAAATAATACCAAAAAGTATACTATAGTTAAACCATGGTAACTACAAATTAACCATGGTTTTGCAATACTTGCCACAGTTTAACCATGGTATTTGATGTAAAACTGGTTATACAAATATTAATACGACAAAAAAACATGGTTACTACACTTTTACTACAGTAAAACCGTGTTTAATATTCCTAAGCAAGCAACATAAAACAGATATTACTATGAACTATTATCTTTTAAGGAATAAATGGTAAAACAGCTTGACAAATGATCATAAATATAGATTTCCCGAAAACGTTCTGACCTAAATATCGATGTGAGTGACCATGGCTGAGGAAAGAGCGCCATCTGTGTGACAGTGTTTGCTGGGTTTATAATCAGCGGCTGTTGTTTAGTTTCAGTCAGTAGTCAGTATTCAGTAGTCGAGTCCAGTTGAGCGGTCACAACGCTACCTGAAGATGGCTGCAGCAAGAAACAGGGTTTTTGTTATCGGGGTGGGAATGACAAAGGTAAACGCAGCGATTGCCTTGATATTTGCGCTTTGTGATGGTCTGGTTTGCTAAAAGGCTAACGTTACTG